CGAGAACCTGTGATTACTTATAGAATCTTTTTATGATTTTGTACACACAAGGCAGACACATTCTTTCCGAGTGAGCTAGCCGTTCTCTCCATCTATATGTATTGCTATAATCAACATACAAAATTACAATGCGGTGACAGTGAGTGCGGTTCTTATTCGTTAATCAGGCGGTCTTGTGTTCGATACCCCGAATTAGATCCTCGGGATTCTCCAATCTGCGATATCATTAAGTTGGTAGCGGACATTAAATAAACTTATTCATACACTCCAATCCGGCTTCCCCTTCGTCAGTGGCCGGCAAGGGGCTGGCAAGGAAAAGCGTATAGTCGCTCAAATGAGTTTCGCCTGTTCTGGTAAAAGTTCATTCCTGGCACACTCCATAACATATGCCCGTCTTTATAAAGTTAGCATAACAGTTCATAAAAATGGGACATTAAACTCCATTTTATTTCCACTCATCATATTGCAGCTAACGAATTTCTTTGAGTTATTCTATCATAAATTAGTATATATATAATATGTGTCAATTACAAATGCATCTATTTTGTTTTAGAAAGTTATGCCTGGATAGTTTCGAACCCACTACCAGCGTTCAGTTCGATCATCACTCAAAACAAAGAGAAAATTGAACAAATTTGGAGACCATTGGTAAACGAAACAGCAATATTTTATTACAACAAATTTCCTGAAATAGGACAGTCTTCACAATACCAGGCGATCAGCAAGAAGGTGTTACGTGACTTTCTATGTATTGGATTGCCAGGAGGAGCACATCCATGGGTAATAAGGCTATCATATATAAAAGTTGAACAAGATTAAGCTAAGAAATTAAAATATACCGAACATTCAACTTCCCAGTTTATGATATAAATAAGTTTTCATTTAGCAGTATAAGATCGTCATTTCATCTATGCAACACGCTGAAACGCACCTTCCTTGAAATAGCAGGTCATTTAATTACTGTTGAAATATCTGGCTATTTAATATTTTCCCCAAACTCGCTAATCTACGGAAAGCGTATTAGATACCTATGGCATGGCATTTTGTAAAGTTTAATTTCTGTTCAACATTCAACAGACAGATATCATAGGTATTATTATCACGTAACAAGATAACACTTAAAAGGAGTTTCATTAATTAATATTTTTCAGACAACATTCTCAAAAAGTGTAGCGCAGAAAATACGACATATTCGCCATAATAGTAAAGTTAAAAGCCTAGACTCAACAGATGCTTCATCGAATAAAAAACCAAGAAAAAGTAGCGAATTCGCTCAAATAGGACCAATCGAAGAATCTACTGAGAAGGATGAAGAGAAACACAAGATAGAACTCTTAAATGAATGGAAAAAAGTCAACCCAGACAAAAAACACATCAAGCTCCTAATAAATACAACCAGTAATTTATTTAATACAATTTTGAAAACCAATCCTGGTGGACAGATACAGCCCATCTTAAACGTATTTCCGTGCTTCACTGATATTGAATTTGTGAGTATTGAATTTTTAACTACAGTAAATTCATAAATCTAGAAAAGCAATGGGACGCAGTTGTGTAATATCCATTAGACAACTGATGAACAAAGTCCTATGGTTCATAATCATACCCATGATTCCATGTCCGGGATATACGCGAGAGAGCACCAATTAAGTCTAATTTTCAAAAAAGTTCTCTTACCCCCTATCATAGAGGGACATTCAACCCAGGGACAGATACCCCTCCACCGTCACATGGATGGAAGCGTCTGTGTACACAGTTGATTTATTAATCATTTATAATACACATCTTACTGTAGATTTAAAGTATTTACCTTTCAAAATAAATTTCAGATTATATACAAACTATCGCTGAAATTGGGAATTCCCAAAATTGAAAGAATATCTGAAAGATTAAACAAACTTTTGGCAGCAATTGAAAAAATTATGAAAAGGAGTGCTGTGGTGAGTTTTTTTTTTAAAAATATCGGTACTTTGACGATTATTTTTAAAGATATAATTTCTTATATAATAAGTGTCACAAACTTAACATCAATAAAACAACTTAGATTTTTTACGCATCATAAAATCAAATGTTGACAACACAATAATTGTCAACTACCAATTACCGTATGTCTGATGTGTAGCTTGTGGTGTGCAGTACTTTTTCTGTCTCTTATGGGCTAAAGTAGACAGGCATCTGCTACGCATAGTGCAATGAGGGAAATTTTGTCTGAACAGTCGGTGATGTCTCGCCTACCCTATTTTCAGCAGCCGGGGGTCTTTAACGTGCGCATCCGATTTTTATTCACCTCCAAACGACTAGGTGCGTTTCCCTTGCCTGCCCTTTGACTTGACTTTGACCGTACTAACTCACTGCGGTTCCCATGCAGTCAAAACAACCCAGTATAATAGTTTTTGTTCCTTTGATGATTCAGAATTTAGTAAACTGTATCATATTGTGAAGAGTTACATTATTGTTTTTAGGAGGATGACCCTTGGCGTTTCTTCCATGCCATCCGTTTTATTGAAGACGAGATTAAAAATGGAAAATCTGAATCTTTAATACGTGTAACTACGGTAGGTTCATTTTTAAAATAACATCCCCAACATTTTAATAGCTGCTATCGTTCGGGATCAATCCACAATATCCAAGAAACTTGGGCGCAATTCGATAAAAGTCATATCTTCTTCCTTTATACGCCCACATTGAAAAATTGAAACGTATATTATACCTTCGCCGGTCCCCCCCCCCCCCAAAATTGGCTTGAGGCCAGTTTTTGTCAGATGTTCATAAAAGTTAGTGTATGTTTATAACCACAAGATCTCAGCCGAGTTCGAATATGAGATACTAGATATAACAAAAATACGTTGAGATTGACTTGTGAGCGCTAACAATCAAAAAACTACTGAAATGAAATCGTTATTCTTGAAACGACCCCTCTCAAAATATTATATGATTATTGTTTTTGTAATTCTCATTTACCCTGAGAAGGGTGGGCATATATTGCATGGCGACCGCTTGTTATTTTTTCATTTGCATATTTATTTATTCAAAAATGGAATTATACACAATTCATATTGTCAAAATTTGTTTATTTTCAGGAATACAACGAAAATGAAATAGAGAAACATCTACAGACTAAAGAAAACCAGCCCTTGTTTCTACAAATATTCACGAGTAGTGACAAAATTGAGGGCATGTACTTGTGTGGGGATAGAAGCATAATAGAAACGGGTGTTAAAGGGGGTGTTCTAGGTGCCATTTTCAAATTGATGGCTGCATATTATATATTTGACATCAACTACCCTAAAAAATACGCGATGGTGATGGGCATAATTCAAGCCGTGGTTTTTGAAGAAC